CTACAAAAAAATTTTTTGAAAAATTAGCTGGGTGTCATGGTGTGTGTCTGTAGTCCCAGCTACTCCTGAGGCTGAGGCAGGAGGATGGCTTGAGCCCATGAGTTTGAGGTTGCAGTGAGCTATGATCACATCACTGCATTCCAGCCTGGGCAACAGAGTGAGACTCTGTCTTAAAAAAAAAAAAAGGCCAATAAGCCACCTGTTTATGCTCTGAACCCCATCCTGATATGTTTACACTTCGTGGTCTTAAATTCAAAGAGACATGTTGTACCCACAGGCCCAAATTTAGGAGACAGAAAAACAGTGTGCCAGAGGGTGGTGACAGGCAGATTTCTCCAGCAGGAGAGCTTCTCACAGGAGCCCAACCCATCCCCACACCCCTTCCCAATGATAGCTGAAGTGCTAGTGACCATGACCACACTGGTGAGTACAGGGTCCGTGTGGCTTAGAAGCCCTAAACTGTCAATTCACATACCTCTGACCTAGAATTCTCATCTCTAGAAAGTTACTTTACAGATGAGATGTACTCAGATGCATACAAACTGGAATATATGTGGATATTCATGGCTATGTTATTTATAGCATCAAGAATGACTGTGCTGGTCCTCATATGTGAAGGGAGGCAATGATGTAAGACACATGCTTTGAATGGCTTTTCTACTAATGGAGCACTCCATAGTCTCAAACTGTCCCCCTTTGACCAAGAGCACATTTGTGAAAAGGTTCACAGGAATAAGGGGTGCACTTTATAGCTATGGAAACAAAAGATTCTCCTCTGTTGGAAGCTAATTAGCCCATAAAGATGGTGAACCTATAGCTTGGGCCTTCATTAGCATTCTACTCTAATCAAAGGACTCCTTCTAAACAATATTTATAGCTTTCTAACCTACAGATAGTCCATACACAGAGGCATATTTTACCCCCAGCTGGCTAGAGATTTATTTGTTGTAAATGCTGTATAGATTCGTTTTTTCTTTCTTTACTTATTCTGGTTTGGGATTTTTTTTTGGATGGATTTAAGCTGTCTTAGCAAGTACGAAAATAATCCTCTGTAGACTGAGCTACCCATTCCCTGCTATAACTTTGTGGCCTGTGCTGTCATGGGACATAGGATGGTGGTATCACCGTTGCATTCTCATTAGATTCATGCACCTCCTGAATGGTTTGTTTTTCTCGGGGGTTTTAGAGTTTCATTTGTCTGTTTGTTTGCTTCTTTTCCAGAGTGTGGAAAGTCTACAGTGCAGAAAGGCTTTAACCTGCCAGTTGATTTGGAATACTTTCCCCTGTGCAGGGCCGTTCGCATCCTGCCAAGCTGCATTCTATTTTGTACTGTGTACAATAAAGAAATTTGCTTTTCATTTAAAAAAAAAGACTTGAAATATATTAAATGTACATCCTTGGCAGAAAGGTAAATAAATAATGGTATTTCTAGCCAGTGGAATATCGAGCAGCCATTATTGTAAATGAGGTACCCATACAGTTTTCAAAATTGAGTGATTTTTGTCCCCCAAGAACATTTGACAATGTTAGTAGAAATTTTTCATTGTCATGACAAGGGAGGTGGGGTGGAGGTATTGGCATCTAGAGGGTAGAGGCCAGCAATGTTGTTTAACATCCTCCGATGCACAGGGCAGCTGTCCACAACAAAGAATTACCTGGCCCAAAATGTAAGTAGTGATGAGATTAAGAAAACTTGGGGTAGACCAATATGTGGTGAAATGGAATGATCATTAACTTATGAAAAGGACCAGAATGTGCACTAATTTGTTCACAAGAAAAAAAAAGAACAAAGGAAAAAAGATTCATATATTTAGACAGATATGTATACATGATATCTGGAAGAATGTATAAAAAACTGAAGGAGGAGAAGACTTGGGCATGCAGTGAAAGGGAGAATTATTTTTCTCCTTTTGTTGAACAAAGCTTTTGTTTGGCTGGGCACAGTGGCTCACCCCTGTAATTCTAGCACTTTGGGAGGCCTAGACAGAGCATTGCTTGAGGCCAGGAGTTCGAGACCAGCCTGGGCAACACAGTGAAACCCCCTCTTTACAAAAATGCTTTTAAAAAATTAGCTGGGTATGGTGGTGCATGCCTGTAGTCCCAGCTAGTCATGAAGCCAAGGCAGGAGGATCGCTTGAGCCCAGGAGTGTGAGGTTACAAAAAGCTATGAGGAGGCCGCTGTATTCCAGTCTGGGGGACTGGAAAGCTTTTGTTTGAATTTTTTAGTATGTGTAAAAATTACTTTAAAACATGTTCAATTCAATTTATTAATGCTCTATTCAGAATATGGTTTTAGAATTTTGGCATCTATATTCTTAAATAAAACTGGTCTATAATTTTCTTTTTTTGCAGTATCTTCATCAAATTTAAGGTTAGGTGGATTTGTAAAACGAACTGGATTCCTCTTTGTCTTTCATTAGTCTAGAATCCTTAAATGTACAAATTACTTGGTCTTTACAATTTTATGAAAGTAGTAATTAGCATAGACTTAGCAAGGCAAGTTTAAGGAAATTTATGTGTAAGGAAAAGAAGAAAAAATGAGGTACAGGTCCCAAAGGGATAAGTAGAGAATTGTCTTTCTTTTCTCCTTTGTTCGCTCTCTTTCTCTCTCTCTGAGGGAAAGGATTAAAGAAACCTGCAGTAGATGATATGTTGAAGACAAAACAGAGGAAAGTGACATATTTTTTTCAAGGCTACAACATAAATTCCTAAAAGCTGCCTCTGCCTCAGGTTCATTGGAATAAAAATAGGAGTAAATTAGGAACTCACCTGGGACATAGCCATCCTGTTCTTCTCTGTACAAAGGACAGAAATCTACAAAAGCAGAATTAGGAGGGTTGAGATCAGTGAGTACAGACATAAGATCATAGTTATCAGCCTGATAATAATCACCCTTGCACCCTGGGGTGAATGATTTGGAAACATGGCCTGGTAGCTCCAGCCTGTTCCCATAGGATTCTGCTAAGATCATGTGCATTTTGCACATGAAATTTTGTTTCCCTTACTGGAAGATGTATAACTTATTACTAAAGGCATCTACTTTAGAAATCATTAACAACTTGATACCTTCTTTATCTCCAGAATTCTAGTCCTAGAAATTTGTCATAATAAAACAAATAAATGGGCACAAAGCTGCAAGAATATTAACTGTAGTCATTCCCATCAATCAAAATTTAGAATCATTGAAATAAAAAAAATCAAAATTTGGAAACAACTAAACGTCCAACAAAAAACTCATTTAAAAAATATGATACATGCAAAAACAGGCATACGGCACAGGGTTTAAAAATGCTATAGAGGCAGGCAAGGTGGCAAGCACTTGTAGTCCCAGCTACTCGGGAGGCTAAGGTGGGAGGATCACTTGAGCCCAGAAGTCCATGGCCAGCCCAGGTAACACAGCAAGACTCCATCTCTTAAAATAAAAATGCTATGGAATTTTGTTTTCAGTTCTTAAGATACTTAAAAGTAGGTTACAAAAAAATACAGTGTGATCTCATGTTTTTCAAGTAATATGATCACATATGAAGTCTTGAAGAACATTTATTCAAAAGTTGACATTGGTTACTGTTGATGGTGATTTCAATTTCCTTCCCTTGTTTATTTCCATTTTGTCATTTTTTGACAGTGAATATTAATTACAAGTGAAATAAAAATTAAAAACGATTAAAAATCACCTATTATCACACAGAACCCTAGAGATGAAAAGACCCTCAGCAAAGTGTGTATAAGAAGGATCTCTTGATGTAGTTTGGTGGGAGGAGACAAACCAGGGCTCAGAGGGCTGGAGGGAGGGAGGTAGGGGTGGGGGGCAGGTGGCTAACAGTACAGCATTCCTCAGTTCTATGTGAAGCTGAAAGCCACTAGGCCTGCCCTCCTCCATCCTCCAGGCATCACTGGCTGTTGCACCACCTTGTTCCTGCCCATCACTTCTTCCTTTCCCACAATTTGCATTTTGATTGCCATCCTCTCTCTTGTTTGGCAGTTTTTCAGAGGGTTTCAGCAAGGAGCTTCAGGGCAGAGTAACCATCGCATGCTGCAGCAATCACTGTGACAGCATCAGGACAACAGGGTTCAGCTCTTGTATCATAAAAAGTCATGTTCTCAGGCCCAGATTCGTTAAGCATCAAAATGAGGCAGCAGAACTGGATAAGAGCATACCTGTAGACTACTCTGAAATTCTATAAACTCAAAATATATTTTCTGCACCTTGGTCAGGAGGGAGATTCAGCATTTCCCCTTGAGCAGGTGCAAGGTTGATGCCGTGACTCAAATCCAAAAATAGCCAGTAGCAAGAGAAGGGAGCATTAAGTTGCATGAGCAGGTGTGCTAGGAGAGGATGAAGACTTCTGTGGCTGGTCATGATCCTTCCCAGCCTCATCCTGCCTACAGCAGGGGACCGGCCCCAAGAGGGACATCCATGCCTTGATCTACCTGTGACTTTCATCTCTCTCTCCTCCAACAGGGATCAAACTGCCCACTGTCACATGGTCCTTGATGGCACCTGGAAGTTGAGCCAGCATTGCCCTCTCTCAGCTGACCATGAAAGACAAAGGCCACTGCAGGTCCAGCTCTTCTAGGACCACTGTCCTGTGAGCCTCTTCCCTCTGCCCTGAGGATGTGGGTCTGGGCTCTGTGCTGAGGCTTCTCCTCCAACTTGCCTCAGAGCACCTCTCTTGTTCCCAAGGAGACAGGACCAAGAAATTCAGACATAAACACACGTCAGCTGGGACCTCACTGCAGCACCAGATGTCTGCCTGTGACCCAGGGAACTCACCTCTTCCTGGGGCCTCAGAATGGGTCTTCTCAGACTAAGTGAGGAAGCCTGGGCGTGGATACGCTGGAGTCTGCAGTTGGTGAGCAGGGGCCTCAGTTACACACTCTGACCCTGGAAACACAATGACCACAGGAGATTCCATTAGCAACCCGTTTGCTATCTTCAATGGAGTGAAGTTTGGTAAAATCCAAAGGTTTTCACTCGACAGGATATAAAATGCCTCGTTCTACTTTTAAGAGTTAACATTTGTACAGAGCTCAACAATCGTCAATGAGCTACACATTGCCTTACTAAGAGTCTCATCTTTGGAACCAACTGATAGCCTGCTGTGCCACTTTAATTCATCTAAGAAATGAGTGCCTTCTATGTGCTTGTTCACCGTGTTAGAGATACATCTGACAACAAAATCTCGGAGTTCCCCGCTCCTGTGGATCTTATATTCTAGCAGGGAAGACAAACGGGAAACAATAAACATGACAAATACAGGAAAAGACAAAGGATCCCTCGGGTTTGCTACCTATGTGATTTCGGACAGGTTGCCGAGCCACACTGTGCTGTTTTCTCTGTCGAATGAATATAATCATAGTACCATCTCACAGGGCCCCTGGAAGACTAAAGTGAAACACTTGCCACGGTGCTTGGCATTAATTAGGCACTCAGGAAACAGTCCCTGAATGACTCAATCAATTCCGAACCGCGCCCCCAACACTCACGCCCACGGCCCGTGTCACTCAACCTCCACAGGGGCGCTCCCCCACAACCCTGCCAACAACCCCAGCCCATCAAACCCATCACCATCTCCGTCTGCCCCTTACTTCACCGCCAAGAGCCCGTGAGGGACGGATGACAACTACCAGTATAAACTACAAGTGGCCCTCCTGGGTCAGTCCAGCACTTCCGCTTCCCGTCATCCCCCGGAAACGCGAGGTCGCGGCACTGCGCACGCGCATGGGGGGACG